AGTCACTACCAGGAGCTTCGAAAATTGAATTCTAGATAGACATTTAAAAGCTCCCTCACCCCCAAATAACCTCAGAGAAGCAATTTAGCAAAAGACAACAACTGAAAGAGCACACTGTCCACATCAGAAAAACCACTACGCAAATATAATAAATACTGGATGACATTTTTATGGAACGTAGCAGGGGAAAATATGTATGAGTTTTATTTTGAGGTGGTCCCTATTTCTTTCAAGTATGAGATAATTGCAATTCAGGCTCAAATATGGATGCAATACACACAACGCGTTCAAATACACTAGGGACTGTCTGCCCTCAAGATCACGAAAACAAAAGAAATGCTTAAAAATAAGCCTGTTCTCTGAATTTTGCTGGAATAATTTATGTCAAATTATAGCAGAATTAACTTGCTGGGATGGTAAAAGACTGTCTCAATCTAATTGCAAGGTACTTCTCTCATGCATATTATAATCTTGTCAAACTATTTTTGTGTTCCTTTCAGAATTGCTTGGTTGTCTCTTTCCGCTCAGAAAACCCTCAAATTCACATTGTAATTTTACTTCAGGTGAAACATGGTGCTCATTTAGAGATGCAGGTGTTCCTATTAAAATTTTTGCAAGTCTTATTCAAAGTCTAATTTGTTTCAGAACTATTTTATATGAAACCATGAGAGCTTTCATTACGATAAGCAAAATGGCTTAGCAGGGAAAAATGTCCTGCCCGACTTACTAGGCAAGGAGGATGTGATGGCTTGTGCACCCCATCCGCCATCCTCTCATCAGGGGTTCTCCTTCCAAGGAGCCCCCGCACCCTGAGCACTTTGCCATGCTCTCCCAGGCAGCCAATCAGGGGCTCAGTCCCGCCTGCACCCTGATCAGCTGCACACAGGCCCCACTACATTCCACTGGTGTGACGAAAGAAGGGGCAGACCAACACTTGGGGTCAGGCACCTCTCAGCTGTCCTCTCCCTCCCACCCTGAAATTGTATGCAGTTATTGTTCTATCTCTTAGCATATTCTCTCATAACAACTTGTGGGGACACAGACATGTGCCTTTCACCTTAAGAACAGGCAAGCATCCCGAGCTCTGAGGATTACCTGGGAAGGAATCCCACTGGAGCATTGCAGCACACCCAAATACCTGGGAGTCACTCTGGACCGTGCTCTGACCTACAAGAAGCACTGCCTGAACAGCAAGCAAAAAGTGGGCACTAGAAACAATATCATACGAAAGCTGACTGGCACAACCTGGGGATCACAACCAGACACAGTGAAGACATCTGCCCTTGCGCTATGCTACTCTGCTGCTGAGTATGCATGCCCAGTGTGGAACACATCTCACCACACTAAAACAGTGGATGTGGCTCTTAATGAGACATGCCGCATTATCATGGGGTGTCTGCGCCCTACACCAATGGAGAAATTACACTGCTTAGCCGGTATTGCACCACCTGACATCCACCAGAAGTAGCAGCCAATAGTGAAAGGACCAAGGCAGAGACATCTCCAGCTCATCCCATTTGGGTATCAGCCAGCACATCAACAACTTAAATCAAGACATAGTTTTCTTAGATCTACAGAGACACTCGCTGGAACACCCAGCAAGCGAGAGTCCAAAAGTGGCAGGCCCAAACCCAGCACCTCAATCATGGGTGATACCAGATGAGAGACTCCCCCCTGGGCACACAGAAGACTGGGCGACTTGGAAGCTGCTGAACAGACTGCGCTCTGGCACCACGAGATGCAGAGCCAACCTTAAGAAATGGGGCTACAAAGTGGAATCCATGACATGCGAGTGTGGAGAAGAGCAAACCACAGACCACCTGCTGCAATGCAACCTGAGCCCTGCTCATGCACAATGGAGGACCTTCTTGCGGCAACACCAGAGGCACTCCAAGTGGCCAGATACTGGTCAAAGGACATTTAATCAACTACCAAGCTTGCAAACTTTGTGTTTTGTTTGTTTGTTTGTTCTGTTAGAAATGTAATACAATGGTATGGTTGCTGATGACACGATAAATATAAATAAACTTGTGGGGATATGGCATGGGCCCTGGATTAGGCTGATTTACCTCCCCTCCCCCTCCCTTTATTGGTGGGAAAGGTGGCACAGCACAGGGGAGAGATAGATAGATAGATAGATAGATAGATAGATAGATAGATAGATAGATAGATAGAAAACACACAATAAAGAAATATATTTTTTACACTATGCTTAGTAGTAATAAGATGCCACATCACAAGGGGTTCATGGGGGTAAAAAAATTATAACCACTTTATTGATTTTATTTATCATTTCAGGAGCGAACCAAAACAGTTGTGTTGCATTAAAAACAAACAAACAAACAAACAAACAAACAAACAAAACACCAAGTTTGCAGACTAAATATTCTATTAAATGTCCTTTGACCAGTAGCTGGCCACTTGGAGTGCCTTTGGTGCAGCAGCATGAAGGTCCTCTATTGTGCATGTGGCAGGACTCAGGTTGCATTGCAGTAGGTGGACAGTGGTTTGCTCCTCTCCACACTCGCATGTCGGGATTCCACTTTGTAGCCCCATTTATTAAGATTGGCTCTGCATCTTGTTGTGCCCAGGGGGGAGTCCGTTCAGCACCTTCCAAGTCGCCCAGTTTTCTGTGTGCCCAGGGGGGAGTCTCTCATTTGGTATCAGCCATTGATTGAGGTTCTGGGTTTTAGCCTGCCACTTTTGGACTCTCGCTTGCTGTGGTGTTCCAGCGAGTGTCTCTGTAGATCTTAGGAAACTATTTCTTGATTTAAGTCGTTGGCGTGCTGGCTGATACCCAAACAAGGGATGAGCTGGAGATGGCACTGCCTTGGTCCTTTCACTATTGGTTGCTGCTCCCCGGTGGATGTCAGGTGGTGCAATACCGGCTAAACAGTGTAATTTCTCCAGTGGTGTAGGGTGCAGACACTCCGTGATAATGTGGCATGTCCCATTAAGAGCCACATCCACTGTTTAGCATGGTGAGATGTGTTCCACACTGGGCATGCATACTCAGCAGCAGAGTAGCATAGCACAGGGGCAGATATATTCACTGTATCTGGTTGTGATCCCCAGATTGTGCCAGTCAGCTTTCGTATGATATTGTTTCTAGCACCCACTTTTTGCTTGATATTCAGGCAGTGCAGACTTTAGCTCAGAAGGTAATTCACGACACCATAGAATGGGTGCAAGAATGAGGTCAAAAACATATTGACTGATTCATAAGTAAAATATTGTATGAAGTAAGAGGAGAGATTAGACATGTTAAGATGGTAAAGAGAAGACATGGGGCTTCTAAAATGTCATTCTGGTCTACAGAGAAAACACAGCAACTGCACTGTTACCAAATCAATCAGTGCTTTTGTTTTTGTATTGGTTTAGGAAATGCACCATAGTCAACTCTTTTCTAGCCCTCCCATCAGCTTTTGGATGGGTTAATAATTGGACATTTTCATCTGAAAGGCAGCTCCATTTTGTAGCAAATAAAAAGGCTCCCTGAAGCAAAAGGTTTATACGGCAGCCCATCATCTCTGTGGGGTGCTTTAAGGTATTGGGATGGGGGGAATAATACACACTAAGTGTGACATCATTATCATTCAGAAAACCATGCTGTCGATCACATAATTGTCTGCTTTATTTCACTAGGTCCATAGTTGAGAACAGTAATTTTGTACCTACTGGTTAGTACGTAGCAAATATGTGTAGCTGCTGTGAGTTTGGCACAATTACGTAGGATCATGGAGGACAGGCTGTGTTTATTAACTAGTTATGTACAAAAATGAGAGTTGATTGTGTCACTCATTGTGTTGTGAGACATTTTGTTGCCAAATTTGGTGTGATTTCGTTCATTGGTTCTTTTGTTTTTAAGGTTCTCATTATGCACAGAGCATTTTTATATATATAGATAAACTTTGAAGTTCTTTATTAATGACTTAGATGAAGGGCTAGAAGGCATGATCATCAAGTTTGCAGACGACACCAAAGTGGGAGGGATAGCCAATACTCCAGAGGACAGGAGCAGAATTCAAAACGATCTTGACAGATTAGAGAGATGGGCCAAAACTAACAAAATGAAGTTCAACAGTGACAAATGCAAGATACTCCACTTTGGCAGGAAAAAACGAAATGCAAAGATACAGAATGGGGGACAATGCCTGGCTGAGAGCAGTACGTGTGAAAAAGATCTTGAAGTCCTCGTGGACAACAAGTTAAACATGAGCCAACAATGTGATGTGGCGGCAAAAAAAGCCAATGGGATTTTGGCCTGCATCAATAGGAGCATAGTGTCTAGATCTAAGGAAGTAATGCTACCCCTCTATTCTGCTTTGGTTAGACCACATCTGGAATATTGTGTCCAATTCTGGGCACCACAATTAAGAGAGATATTGACAAGCTGGAATGTGTCCAGAGGAGGGCGACTAAAATGATCAAGGGTCTGGAGAACAAGCCCTATGAGGAGCGGCTTAGGGAACTGGGCATGTTTAGCATGAAGAAGAGAAGGCTGAGAGGAGGTATGATAGCCATGTATAAATATGTGAGAGGAAGCCACAGGGAGGAGGGAGCAAGCTTGTTTTCTGCTTCCCTGGAGACTAGGACGCGGAACAATGGCTTCAAACTACAGGAGAGGAGGTTCCATCTGAACATTAGGAAGAACTTCCTGACTGTGAGAGCCGTTCAGCAGTGGAACTCTCTGCCCCGGAGTGAGTGTGGTGGAGGCTCCTTCTTTGGAAGCTTTGAAGCAGAGGCTGGATGGCCATTTGTCAGGGGTGATTTGAATGCAATATTCCTGCTTCTTGGCAGGGGGTTGGACTGGATGGCCCATGAGGTCTCTTCCAACTCTTTGATTCTATGATTCTATGATTCTTGCTAATTCTGGATTCTGTTTGTCAGGTTTTCCTAACACTTTAGAAACTTAGTTATATACAATTTCTCTATAATTTTCAAATATTCTTCCCATCCCTAAATAAATAAATAAATAAAGGTAAACATGCTTTTCTTACCTGTTCCAAGAAACAAAACATGGTATCTTCCATCAGCAGCACTGACACGGTCGACGGCTATCTTTGTGTATTTGTAGTCAGTGCCTGTTCGAATGATCAGAGGTCTCTTGTGGATTGGATAAATAGGATTAAACATTAGGGGATGATTCCTGATAAAAGTCACCACATCATCTGGAAACTCCTTAGTTGTCCGTATGTTGGGTGTGAAGGCTCCGCCAGGACACTGCAAAAAAGAGCCAATCCTCAGCAATTACACCAAGCATGAGTCAGTGTTCTGTTCTTTAGGTAGTGTCTGGTGAAGGTATTTTCTAAAACACCAATTCCAAGAGTAAATGCAAAGACATGTGTAACCACAAGGCTAACATGTCCAACAATGGTAATATCAGAGTCAAACACAATTGTATAAGAATAATACATTTTGCTTGAACACTCCGATTCCCAATAACTAATATAATTTACTTTAAGTGTTTGAAGGGAGTTCTTGTCAATTTGCGGAAGTATTTAATTACAATGCTCTCAACCAGTGGTTCTCAACCTGTCCCCAGATGTTTTGGTCTTCAACTTACAGACATCCTAACAGCTGGTAAAGTGTCTGAGATTTCTGGGAGTTGTAGGCCAAAATACATGGTGACCCACAGGTTGAGAACCACTGCTCTAGTGCATCAACTTGTTTCTTCTTTAGAATATGTAAAGTTTTGAACCTCAGTTGCCTCCACCTCAACCCAATGTCTGTTTTAGCTTGACAGGTGGTGCAGAATTTTAAATGTATCACTTCCCTATAGCAGCTCCCTTCCCAAACGGATTTAATACCTCGGACAATAATGTTCTTTTGCTTTGGCCTCTATGGCCCTTCCTAAGATGGGTCTAGTTGTCAGATTGCCCGAAGGCCTGGTCCCACAACCACGTTTTTAATTTCCTCCTGAAGGAGAGGAGGGATGTTGATGACCTAATTTCCCCCGGGAGTGAGTTCCACAGGTGAGGGGCCACCACTGAGAAGGCCCTGCTCCTCGTCCCCACCAACCTCACTTGTGATAGCGGTGGGGTCGAGAGCAGGGCCTCCCCAGATGATCTCAAACTCTAAGGTGGGACGTAGAGGGAGATGCGTTCGGACAGATACGCTGGACCGGAACTGTATAGGTCAAAACCAGCACCTTGAATTGTGCTCGGAACTGAACCGGCAGCCAGTGGAGCTGACACAACAGGGGGGTGGTGTGCTCCCTGTATGACGCTCCAGTGAGTAATCTGGCTGCCGCTCACTGGACCAGTTGAAGTTTCCGAACAGTCTTCAAGGGCAACCCCACGTAGAGTGCGTTGCAGTAGTCTATTCGGGATGTAACAAGAGCGTGGACCACTGTGGCCAGATCAGACTTCCCAAGGTACGGGCGCAACTGGTGCACAAGTTTTAATTGTGCAAAAGCTCTCCCAGCCACCTCCGAGACCTGAGGTTCCAGGCTCAGCGATGAGTCCAGGATCACTCCCAAGCTGCGAACCTGCATCTTCAGGGGGGAGTGTAACCCCGTCTAACACAGGCTGTAGCCCTATGCCCTGTTCGGCCTTACGACTTATCCCATTCCATAACATCAGACTGAATTGAACTTCAGTTGAATACTCTTCGCAATACAGCATAAAAGGGAAAAAGCGACGTGAATGTTTTTTCTTGCAGACACAGAAAAATAGTACATGCAAGGAACATACACACAGAGAAACACAGACTTCCAGGAATCCTCCTACTCTATTCTGACAGTCTGGGAAAGGTTATAGTATTTGAAATGTTGATATATATATACAAGGTATTTTGTTAGTTTTGACAGACGTAGAAACTGACTAAAAGTTAAGAACACTGCACTTTGTGGTCATGTCTTAAGAAGGACGTCATGCTTGCAGGAGAAGAATACATTCCACTATTTGCTCAACTCAGCGTACTGTGTTCTTTCATGAATTACAAGAGAAGCATTCATCTCTAACAAAAGCATATGGGTATGCCCAAGGCAAACTGAAACAGAAGAAAATATTATTGTGTTGCACTTCAAATGTGTTTCTCTATTTAGCTTGGCTTCTCTTAACTGGAAGGAAGGAAGGTCTACTGCAGTTACAGGTCTGGAGCCAATACCATGTCAGTGGCTATCTAATAATTATGAAATGATTTCCATACATTTCTGTGCATCATGCATCCACAGTTGGTCCTCCATATCCATGGATTCTACATCCATTTAATGGATAGGGTATTAAACGTAATTCATAGTATTAAAAAAGAAATAGTATGGGATACATACTAGTAATGGCCCAAGTAATTGTGAATGGTTGTTTAACAGGGAAATATGAGGCAAATAGCAGAGATGTCCCCTTTCCCAATTTTATTTGCAATCGTAATGGAACTATTAACTAATTCATTTCTAAGTGTTTGCAGACCACTTCCTTAACGATATTTTCCAGAATCTTGCCTGGTATCCATGTGAGGCTGATCAGACAGTAATTGTTTGGGTCATCCTTTCTTCCCTTCTTGAAGATAGGAACCACATTTTCCCTCCTCCAATCTGCTGGAACTTCTCCCGTTCTCCAAGAACTCTCAAAGATGATTGCCAATGGTTCCGAGATGACTTTCGCTAGTTCCTTCAATACTCTTGGATGTAGTTGATCTGGCCCTGGGAACTTGAATTTGTTTAGAGTGGCCAGGTATTCCTGGACAACTTATTTCCCTATTTGGGGTTGGATTTCCCCTAATCCTTCATCCACTCCATCTTACTGAGGTTGAGGACAACTTCCTTTTTGTGAGGAGACTGAGGCAAAGAAGTAGTTCTGCCTTTTCCCTATCCTTTGTCAGCATTACTCCATCTTCTCCTCGCAGAGGCCATATTGCCTTCTTGCTCTTCCTTTTTTCTAATTACATAAGCAAAGAAGCCCTTTTATTGTTTTATAATGTCCTTGGCAAGCTCGATCTCATTTTGTGCTTTAGACTTGCGAACTTTTTCCCTACAGGAGTTGGTTACTCATTTGAATTCTTTTTTGGTGATTTCTCCTCTTTTCCACTTGTTGTGCATGTCTCTTTTGAGTCTTAGCCCATTTAGAAGTTCTTTGGACATCCATTCTGGCTTATTTGCACTTGTCCTATTTTTTCTCTTTGTTGGTACTGTTTGCAATTGCGCCTTGAGTATTTCACTCTTGAAAAACTCCCATCCATCCATAACTCCCTTGTCTTTTAGTATAGGCATATTTGGATAGCATATTAAAGGGTCAACACCCCTGCAGTGTTTGTTTTACTGTCTGTGCCCCTGTTCAGAAGAGTTTACCTCACCTTTCTGTCTCTGTGATCATTGGATTTTGAAAAAAAAATGGTTTGTTTTGGAAAAGATTTGGAGATAAAGCTTCAGTAGAGACATCTTTCCTCCACGAGAATTCTTTCAGGAGTTAATTTCCCTTCCTGGGGGTAGATTTCTTTCACTTTCTGTTGGCTTACCCCCATTCTTAACTATGAGTCATTTGTAAGTCAGATGTTTGTAACTCAGGGACTTTCTGTACTTTTAATTATTCTACCCAAAAAGAACTGATCTGTTAAGCCAGTCAGTGCTCCAATCAAAATGTTTCTTAGACACTGAAGAATGGGGTGCTAAAAAAAGATCACTGTGGTGTCCTCACAGTCAAAGGGTTGATTTGAGACAGGCACCTAGAAGGACACCTTGTGAGGTTCTGTAACAACTGCTTCTCTCAATGTGCTTTGACTAAGAAAAATGCCACAGTCATCATTTCCCAATGTCCCAAATTGCAATACCTGGAAACACATTTATTTGCTTATACCCAATTTTTCTCCTGAATGGGAGTCAATGCAGCTTAAATTAAAACAAAGTTGTTAAAACCAAATTTCAAAAGTATTAAATATGAATTGAGCATCCCTTATCTGGAATTTCATAATCTGAAACACTTATATACTCCAAAATCTGAAACTATCCATATGGGTGGCTGACAAAAACATATGGATTTCTATTGGTTTGATGTACACAACTTTGTTTCATGCACAATATATATATATATAAATCTTGTATAAAATTACACACAAGCTATGTGTACATGTCAGGTTTTACAATGTATTGTAATGTAATATAGCGGAGTCATGCACTGCTAATGGGCTTCTATTGGAAATGCTGAGTTAAGCATTAACTGTATATAGAACTTCATTTGGGGAATGTGTTCTGGCCTAGTCCAGGTGATTGTGAATGATGCAATCCTGGGTTTGAGTTAAGTCAATGAGTTGGGAACCAATCAGTGATTGCTATGTGTAAATGAATTGTATATAAGGAAGTCATGTACAGTGTATATCTCTCCTTGTGCTGTGATGTTGTTCGTCGAAGGCTATATGTAATTAAAGAACCTGTCTGCTAAGACAAGATATAACTGTATGCTGTGGTAAGTCTGTAATATCATCTAGACTGGGGGAAAGACAATGGTAAAACTGACAATGGCCGGGCATGTGCTCAAGTGTCAGGACTCGGTTTCCTGGCCTCGGACATTGGCGCAAAAAACCCACGTCCTGACTTGGAGGGCTGATAAGGATGTGCAGCTGGTGGCCTTGAGGGAAAGCAGTTGATAGTTGGCGGGGAATATTGGCGGGATCCTCGGCTGGCGGGAAAGGGGAATTCAATTGTGAGGGAGGGTATAAAAGGGATTGACCTGCGGCTGTATGCCAATCCTGGCTTTCGTTGTGTATGCATTTCCAGTAGTAAAGGTTTCCTGATTGATTACGGATTGGCGTCCTGTGTCTTTTCTGGGAGCGGCTGCTGTGAGCTTACATTAAGCCAGGATTCTGTGTGCCATCCCACGGCTGTGGTGAGGCACCCCCATGCAACAAGAAGAAGAACCAACGGAGGGGGAAGAACCAGGCTCCCCTTTTGAGAATGCAGAAGAGGAGCTGGAGAGAGTGAATGCCTTGGCTTCGCCAACTGTGTATGCCCAGCCCAGCGGAATCGCTCGGAGGCGAGTGAAGGGGGCAGAGGCAGCAGCGAGAGGAAGCAGCGGGCTAGACTTCCCCTCCCCGCAGAGGTTGGATTACTTGGAGGAGAAGTTGGCATCTATGGAAACCACCCTCGCGATGATGTCGAGAGTAATGGAGAGGCTGGCCCCCTTGTTAGAGGAACCACAACCACGAGGGGAATCAATGTGGAGTGCGGAGGAGAGGAGTGACCGGGGACCCGGGGCACGTCCAAAAACACAGGCGAGTTGGAGTTAAACCGT